GAACAAAGTATGTACGTGGTATTAGCTGGAATATATGCATTTTTTAAATTTTGAGAATGCATTTGCGTGATATGGCCATGACATGCAGTTCCCCTAATGTAACCAGGTTAAAGATTTAGGTGACCAGGAAACTGTATTGTTTACTTTTTTTATAATCAAGTGGAAGATGCATTCTGGGAAAGTTTTCCGCAGGTCCACGTCCTTCGTCTCGGGCGATGTACACTTAAGTCTGAGAATTACCTCCCTTTCTGACTCAGATGTCCATTCATCGCAGCCAACAGTTCCGGAATCGGCTAAGAGCTTAGCCACTAGGAGATGATAAAGAGGATTCTGAAAGGGCGCTTCATTTAACAAAATACCTGTTAATGTGGGTTTGCGCTCGTAGCAGCTGGCGGTCACAGCCACATGCTCAGCGCTCACGGAACACGTACTTGGCTGCCGGGCGTACGAATGTAATTGTTCGTAAAGTTGTCAAATATGTCATTTTCTGATTTTAATGATCCATATATCTACAGGAATACTCAGTATGTAGAAATACTGGCATAGTGCTGTTGATACGTTTGGTCCGAATTCCTCGTTAAGGTTTGCTGTACAAGGTGTTGGGAAATTGGTGGCAGCACAGGTGACGGCGGGTGTTTGGAAGTCTGGCTCTGTCAGGCTTGAATTGTTCGCTCTCTTGGTTCCGGCCTGTTTGTAGTGCTCTTGGTGTGCGGTCGTGGGTCTGTTGGCGAACTCTGTTCGACTTAGAAATATTTTCAACAGCTCACTCTTAACAGATAGCGAGACAGGCCTTGCTGTGCTGGAAGTGACGAATTGAAATCAAGTGCCTGTGTCTATGCATTTGCGAGTTCGCGCTAATTAGCTCTCTCGTGTGTTCATTTTTCTCCAAAACATAGCAGATGAATTGTATGGAAACAGGTTTTGGATGAAATTATTCCTGTTGATATATTACATGAAATAGAGTTTAGTGATGACGTAATCTGGCTTGGTCTCGCGCTGGTGACTGGCCCGTTACCTGACTTCAGTCTGTCTGGAAACATTCAGCCTCGTGCATATCCACTGTTTCATTCCATAAAATTAGATGAGGGTGTAACTGATAAGGTTTTTTAGTGCGGTCGCCACAATAGATAAAATCTTAATTTCGCGTTTCGTGTTGGTGTTTCGTAGTTGAAAATTCCAGCCATCTCGACCAGCAGAGTACCTTAGATTCATGAAGCGTCTGTGCCAGTGTAGTATACCGCAATACGTACGATCGTGTTCACATGAACGGCTGTAGCCACGGGACAGTGCAAGTAAGCACGAGTGCAACGCCGACCCTGGAACAGCTGAGAAGGAAGCCCCACTAGCGCCAAGGCTGAACATCGTTGAGATCGTAATTTGAACTCACTTCACGAACTCCAGATCCAAGTGAAGTGAGCCAGGAAGGCGGGATCGTCTTACGGCGCGAGAAGGGCACGGGTGATGCGGATGTGGGTGGTGTACGTTTTTCCAGTGAGTCATCTCGGAGGTACCGCGTCGGGCAGGAGAAAGTGGCCGCACTCCGCCCCGTGGCACCCACGCTTGCTTTAAATTTGAGAAAACCCACCTGAAACGGCGAAAATAAGGCTGTTGTGCGTTCCGCAGCGAGGCGTCAGTGTGCGAAAGAGTGTGCGCTAGGTGATGCCCAGGCTCCTTCTAGTCCTGTGGCACAGAGGAACATCATATGGATTGGTTGGGCGCTCAGTTTGCTGATGTGGATATTGACATTTCTATTTTTGTTGGTGCGTGATTGAGGAGTCGGATACCGTTTTGGTGTGTTTCTTTTTCACTTTGTTTATTTGTTTACAGCTTGATTGTTTAGAAGGATTATTTTGGTGAAAAGAAAATATTAACTGCAAGCCTAGTATTATGCCCGTCCTTGTGGCCTGTTGAACCTCGGAGGCCGTGTCGGTCGTCTTGTGCTTTGATTTTGTAAATGGAGAGGCGCGCCTGCCACAAAAAGTGTGTCTATTTGTGCACTTGCCTCTGAGATGGCCGTGCGCCCTCGGCGCGTGTAGGCAACCCCGTGCAGGCGGAGCGATGGCCTCGGGGCAGCGTATCCAGATCGTGACGTGGTGACGGCGGTGTCCGTAGCGAGGGATGATGGCTCACTCCCCGGAAGATATCCAGAACAATAACTTCCAGGTGGAGCCTGGACCGCCCGAACTTCCTCCCGCGGTCACTGCTTCTTATGATCCAGCTAACGCCAACGTGCCTCAGTCCAGTGCCACGCTCCTGGCGCAGCTCGTAGCCAGAAACAATGATAACTTGAGTGACGAGGCCGCCCTTTCAAGCCTGGGGAGCATCACGTACAACGACGAGTACTTGGAAGACCCCTTGCCGGATTTGACGTTCGACAACTTACGGGTTCCTCTCGACTACGGCGACCCCTCCCTCGGCTACGTGTTCGTAAACCGCCTCGACTCGGAAAGCCGCCTGGACAACGCCGAGGCCCTCCTGCAGCAGCTCCAGGATTTGGGGGTCAGAGTCAACGAGGACTACCTTACTCTAGACCTCGAGCTGACCACCTCGCGGAGCGCCAGTGTGAGCAGCGTTTCCGACACAGCGAGCGTGAGCGACGAGCAGGAGATGCGGCCCTCGGGCGACGGCGGCGGGGTCCGCCACAGGTCCCCGGCGCACGCCCCCTCGGCTCGCCAGAGGTCGCAGCCCAATTGCGAGAGACTGACGCGCTTGTCCGAGGACGGCGAGGAAGACGTGTTCCTCGACATCGAAAATCTAGACTTGGAGGTGGCCGAGGCCGAGATTTTGCCTTCGGGAGGCGTCAAGGTCACTTACGAGAACTATAAGAAGGAGTACCGTTCGCGAATAAGCCCGCAGCACAACTTCCTGCGATACCTGGAGTTAGTACACGACGGGGCCCCCGAGAAGGCCATGCGCGACCCTGAACCATCGGACCTTGGGGCCTCGCCCCGGGACCTCGAGGACCGTTACAAGCGGGCCCTGAGCGCATTACACCGCAGATTCTCGGATAAATTCCCTGACATTAAGGTCCGAAGACTCTCGTCTCTGCCGAGTAAATACGCTCTCAAATTACGGAAGTTTTTAGGTAAGGAGCGGATGGCTTAATTTTTTTTCTTGTGGCACAATACCGGGAAGGCTGTGTCGGGCGAGCGAGCTTCGTGTCCCGGGAAGTCGATTCTACATTTTACCACTTTTGCGATTATGTTTTGCAGTTGAGATAATGATGAGGATAATGATGGTATTGCTCTAATGGTAATAAAGGATAATCATAATTATATGGCTCTAATCATAATAGTTATAATAAGTAAGCACATCTGCTATTAATGTTATTATTATTTATATTATTATTATTATTATTAATATTATTAATAATAATATTGTTATTATTAATAATAGTATTATTATTATTAATAGTATTAGTATTCATCGTCAGTAATCATTATCATCAATAATCATCAATAACCATCATCATCATGGTTGCCATTATTATTAATCATTTCTGTAGCCTTAGTGATGCTGTAAGATAGGTTAATATATTTAGCTTTGCTATCCTTTACAGAATTGTAATATTCATTAATGAAGATCTTAATGGTTTAAATTATATAAAGGATAATTATATCAGTAACAACGATTCAGATGATATTGATAGTTATAGCCAATAAAGACTGTCGATGATTATGATGGTTATTATTACCTTTTTTTGTAAATTTTATCCAAGTATTATTACATTCCATAAGTGACAATTGTTTGACGTAGAAATTTCTGTTGACCACGCCCTGGAACCAGGTGAGGCAACTCCAAGCAGGGAAGGGCTTGGCCACACCCTGGAACCAGGCGTTGCCTCACGACCCGACACTTGGCCATCCTCTGGAACAGGTGTCCCCGCGCGCCGCCGGAACCGCTGCGGACGCGCACGCACAGGGGGCTGCAGCTGTATTCTGTAGCGCACACGCATGCACAAGCACAAGCGTGGACACACACACACACACACACACACACACACATATATATATATATATATATATACATATATACATATATATATGCATACATATATACATATATATGTATATACATATGTATACAAATGATATATATTATACTAATTCATGGATGGATAAAGATGTGAAGTACATGTAAATTGAGTATGCAGTGTGTATGTGTCCATGCAGGTACTTCCATGTGTTTATTGCTGGAGGAGGGGCGAGAGCACGTGTGGCTCTATTCCTTAGTGTATCCCGAGGTTTCTCACCCATTCCCCATCTGTTGCAGCTGAAGAAGTGACCTACGACTCCGTGACCCCCGATAGTGGTGTCCATGAGAACTTCAATGCCCTCTCGGCAGAGGAGCAGGAGAAGCAGCGTGAGGAGTGGAAGGCAGTCGTATAACTTCGTATAATGTATGCTATACGAAGTTATTACGCTCACGACCCGGCACTTGGCCATCCTCTGGAACAGGTGCCCCCGCGCGCCGCCGGAACCGCTGCGGACGCGCACGCACAGGGGGCTGCAGCTGTATTCTGTAGCGCACACGCATGCACAAGCACAAGCGTGGACACACACACACACACACACACACCCACACACACACACACACACACGCACGACGAACACACGCACGAACACACACACAAGCATATATATATACACATGTCTATGCAAATGTATAAATATGTATATCTATCTATCTATCTATATATATATATACACATATATACAAATATATATATATATTTATATATATATACATATATACATATATACATATATGTATGGGTACATATATACATATATATGTGTATACATATGTATACAAATGATATATATTATACTAATTCATGGATGGATAAAGATGTGAAGTACATGTAAATTGAGTATGCAGTGTGCATGTGTCCATGCAGGTACTTCCATGTGTTTATTGCTGGAGGAGGGGCGAGAGCACGTGTGGCTCTATTCCTTAGTGTATCCCGAGGTTTCTCACCCATTCCCCATCTGTTGCAGCTGAAGAAGTGACCTACGACTCCGTGACCCCCGATAGTGGTGTCCATGAGAACTTCAATGCCCTCTCGGCAGAGGAGCAGGAGAAGCAGCGTGAGGAGTGGAAGGCAGAGCTCACCAAGGTACACGAACCCAAAGACCAATGTCATCATATATGTCTATATACATACATATATAAATATATATACATACATATATATAAATATATATACATACATATATAAATATATATACATACATATATAAATATATATACATACATATATAAA